ACGGCCTCGCTCCCTCCTACCTCTCCAACCTACTATCCCCCTACCTACCTGCCCGTACCCTCCGTTCCTCTGGCTCCGGTCTGCTCCACGTCCCCGCCCCAACCGCCCTACCATCGGTGGTCGGGCCTTCAGCCTCTCAGCCCCCAGGCTCTGGAACTCCATCCCCCAGTGCCTTCGCCTTGCTTCCTCCCTTTCCTCCTTCAAGGCCGGTCTCAAAACCTTTCTCTTTGACCGAGCCTTCAGCTCCCCTCTCGACTCTCTTCCCCTCCTCGCTCCCTCCCTTCCCTCCCCTCACCCTGACCATTTCCCCCTCCTCGCTCCCTCCCTTCCCTCCCCTCACCCTGACCATTTCCCCCCTCCTCGCTCCCTCCCTTCCCTCCCCTCACCCTGACCATTTCCCCCCTGCTCGGGTCATGACCCAACTGTGCAGCGCCTTGGGACGTCCTCCTGACGTGAAAGGCGCTTTATAAATGGAATCTTGTTGTTGTTGTTGTTGTTAAGTCTTGTATCAGGGCTGGTGATGGCTTCCCACTGGAACTGTCTATACACTCCCCATTCATAGAAATGACAGCATAGCCCTAACAGGTAGGATGGCACAAGCAGTGTGAACGTTTGCCCAACAGTGATATCAATGGCAAGTTATGTGGTTTTAGCTGGTTAGACTCCAGACGTTAATTACTCCAGCAGTTACCCCAACGCACACTCTGGGGTCCCCCAAGCCTTGGCCTTGCCAACTTGTGCCTAATACTTTCCTGAATTGAGAAAGCAGGATGCATCCATCCAGGGAGAGAGTGTGTACTCCATTCCAACAATCCATCTCTGGGATTTCCATGTGTAGCTGGGAAATCTCAGCTTGGTTTGGATACTCTTAAGCATGGTGATGGGTTTCCCCAAGTGTCAGACACATGGCTGACCAAAAACAATAGGGCGAATTTGGACGTTAATTACTAATAGACAACCAGGAGGCAGGTTGTTTAATTGAGTCAGTCAGACACAACCAGTCTAAATACAAGTCAATTAGAGCCAGCAAACTTCAGCATCAAGCTTGGTACTATTACAGCAAGCACAAGGCGGGGGAAGCAGCAATTCAGATCACGTATTGTGCTGAGTTTAACTGGTGAAGCAAGTTGCAGCATCAGCTATTTGCACCTTTCTATCGCTATCATGACATTTCTCAGATCCAAGTGTGCTGTTTGAAGAGCCTTCACGCCTGACAGCTGTGTGACGTGGAAAAGAAAAGCAAATTGTGGGTGTCTGAGCTTTGCCTGAAAACACTGACACACATTAATCATTCCACGGACAGTCATATGCCTGAAACAGCTGAGTCATTCTGGCACTTGATGTTCCTTGCAACAAATCATAACAAACAACTAGTGCAGGTCAAATTCACACAGGCTCCACCTACCTCTTCTGTTCCTTTCCACAAGATAAATTTAAAGCCAGGCTTCCCAGTCCATTGCAGCATTGAAGCAAGTCTACGTTTGAATATGAGCAATGGAACCCAAACTACCAGGTACTTATTCAATAAGGTGCTAGTGCAAAATACATTCAAACAATAAAGCGAGGTTAGATTTACACTGTACGACATTGCAATCTTCAATCTTTTAATCCATGTTTAAAAATCCAAATAACTGGTTCCCCACACTACAGGTACATCCTTGAAGACAGCAAACAATCTTCTTCCCCTCTAAAAGCACAAGATGTGCAATGCCAAGATACACAAGAAATACACAGAAGTGTCAATAAGGATTGTTCACAATGGTGTTTGCTTGTTACACTCATAAGAAATGTATTATATTAAAATGCTTCCAAATATATTAAAATAGTTCCAAATGCTTGAGCTTCCCAGTCAAGGCATCTCTAACAATTCATCGCTCCTTTCAGCATGCCAGGGCATCCTGGATTATTTGCTCAAGTTCCGACTTGGAACTCGAATCTTTGAACCAAAAGGCGACAATGCTGCTAATTGAGCCAAGATTACCACTACTCGTTAAATATCATCACCTCCCACTGCCCATTAGCAACAATACCAACGAACACAAACTACGAAAAACACAAAGGCAACAATGCACATGCACATTTGACAACTTGCCGTCTTGTGAACAGAATTTATGTTTACCTTTCTGAAACCTCAGGCTGCTGGAGATTGCCTGAACTTTGCACTTAAGATTGCATTTAAAGCTCAATCGCAAAGACATCCCCAGTGGGCAGAATGCTAACCAAGGCAGTTACTATAGGAAGCCAGAAATATAATGTGTTCCAAGCCATACTGACATTTTTTTTGTAAACTGGAGGCAAGGAGAAACTCAATACACTTTGGTATTCTTCCAAGTTTTGGGTTGAAAATAAGTTTGGAAGCTTGGGAGGGTGAGAAGGGGAATTTCTTTCAAAATACTTCCTTTTCAAAACATTTGGCCGGGCATCTAACACATGTGGAAACCCATCACCATGCTTAACAGTATCCAAACCAAGCTGAGAACTCCATGCATCCCACCTACAGATGGAAATCCCAAATATTATTGGAATGGAATGCGCGCGCTCTATCTCCCTGGAGGGATACATACTGCTTGCCTAATTACATAAAGTATTAGGTGCAGTTTGGGAAAGCCAAGGCTTGGGGGAGCCCAGAGTGTGTATTGGGGTAACTGGAATCTAACCAGCTAAAACCACATAACTTGCCATTGATATTGTTGTCTGGTAAGCCAAAAGCATAACTCTAAAACCAAATCAAACAGGAGAGGTTAGCACTCAATGCGCTGGGCCAAACACAAACCGATATGATCCGTCATTGCTTCTAAACATCCTGCAAATTCTAAAATAACTGTATCAATATGGAGTCTTGTAGCTCAGTGTGGTTAGAGCACTTGCCTCGCAAGTGAGAGACCTGGGTTTGATTCCTGGCTAGGGCGAAACGTTTCCGTACTCCACACGCCTCTATTTACTTAGCAGTAAGTAGGAATCCTGCTTAGGTAGTTAGTCGATTGGTGGATCGCTTTAAATGGAGGTAATAATTCCTTAAAAAAATAACAATAAATTGGTCACTCAATCCACGACTGTTTGTGGGACACTACTATGCGCAATGACTGCTATGTTTTGCCCACAAAGTATACAACCAATTCACTTTATAGTATATTCTGTGAAGCGCTTTGAGACATCTCGAAGATGTGATAATACAAGGATTATTATTTTAAAAGAATAAGGAAATTGGGATTAAAATAAAACAGAAAAAGGAGGCTTATGATAAATGTCAGGTCCAAAATACACAAGATGATCAAATAGAATATAGAAAGTACAGAGGAGAACTGAAAAAGGAACTAAGAGGGGCAAAGAGATTGTATGAGAAAAGATTAGCGGGTAACATAAAAGGGAACCTTAAGGTATTTTGTAAGCATATAAAGAATAAAAGGTTAGTCAAAGATAGGGTGGGGCTGATTAGGGACCAAAGAGGAAATCTTCTTGTGGAGGCTGAGGGCTTGGCTGACGTACTGAGTGAGTACTTTGTATCTGTCTTCACAAAAGAAGATATGCCACAGTATCGGACGAGAGGGTAGAGAAATTGGATAAGATATGAATAAACCAAGAGGAGGTATTAAAAAGATTGATGGTGCTCAAGGTAGATAAATCACCCGGTCCGGATGGGATGCATCCTAAGTTACTGGGGAGGACAAGTTTGCAGGGCTATGGGGAGAGAATGGGGGAGTGGGATTGAATAGCTCTTTTCAAAGAGCCGCCACAGACATGATGGGCCAAATGGCCTCCTTCTGTGCTGTATAATTTTATGATTCTCTCCTGTTTCTGGAGGATAAATTTAGTTACCAACAACTGTTTCCTAACAATTACATCTGTTCAGTTATAGTCCAATTAAAGCAAGGGTGGTGGAAACAGGTTCAATAACAACTTTCAAAAGAGAATCAGATAGTTACTTGAAAAGGTAAAATTTGCAGGGTTACGTGGAGAGGGGGAGTGGGACTGATTGGGTAGCTCTTCCAAAGAGCTGGTAGAGGCACGGTGGGCCGAATGGCCTCCTTCTGTGCTGTAATATTCTATGATTCTATGAAGTGGCCCAGCACAGTGAAGTTGGAGTCTCTACATATCCACATGTTTATATACATATGAAGCTCCACAGAGGGAACGGTGTGATAATGTGTCCTAAATTGTAGTATTTTCAAAGTGACCCACTGGGAGGACTAGGAGCTTTTAGGATTGCAGACATTTTGTAATCAAGTCAAGAGGTGGGTTTTGAACAATCTTAGCATCTTCCACTTTTTTCACTTGTCAACAACAACTTATCACGTTAATTGTACACTGGGCCTCAGGTCATCCCATTCAATCTCTTCCACACCTAGTTATCCCCAGTGCCCATTTTTTACTATGGTTCAAAATCACTCCAGTTAATGCACCAAATATAAAAACAATTGAAAGGTGCACTGCATATTCACTGGGATGGCGACGTGTATGAAGGATTTCAGTTAAGAGAGACTTTAACAGGTAGAGCTTTTTCCCAAGAGCTGAGATAGTTAAGGTGCACTAAGAGATCTTCAATTATGAAGAATTAGCACAAGTAAACAGTAATAGATGTCCCCTGGTTGGATAGGCAGTAATAAGGTACAAAGTTAGATTTGCAAATTAAAGGGGAGGTTAGAAAAATTGTCTTTCCACAGAGGGATTGGTGGGACTGTCTGCCACAAACCAGAGTATCGTTCAGTCAGAGTCTACAGATTGTTTTAAAGGGGAATTAGATAGATGTTTGAAGAGAAGAATATTAAAGGATGTGTGGAGAGCAAGCAGAAGAATTAGATCAGAGCAAGTCGCCCACGTGGAGAACACTGGCATAGTGTTCACCTTCAGTTTTTGTACCGAACTGTAGTACATTTGTACTGAAATCGTCAACTGCTGATTCTGGGTGGACACCACTATGGTGCAGCACACTTGCCTGCCTAGGCTACCTCCTACAACCCAGCCTCTCCCTGTAGAAAAATCCTGTTTTGGCTCTTCTTTACCTGCGAGAGGCCTGGTGAAGTGGCATGATGGTCTGGTGGCGTTCTGAGAAGATTTGGATGGCCTCTGTTTATATCATAGGCTGTGTAAGGAGCAGGTGGTCCTGCCTGCTCGGGCACCTGTGGGACCTGATAGAGATACTGAAGGTTAGAATGTGAAACTCTCAGAATTATTAACAGATTTTGCCTCGTGGGAGGGAAGACGCCATTGACTGCTAAGGATCACTGGCCTAAGGGTAACTGGGGACTGGAGCTACCATGAAGTCTTAAGGGGCGAACAAATCGTTTCCTATACACAGTGTGAAGCTGTTGGTTTGAGGAGGAAAAAGGTACGCTCTCCTGCGCAAGCACTTGAAGCCCAAAGGCCATCGTCCAGGACACTTAAGGGTCTTGTACCAGCATTAATATCTTTATAAAGTTATAAGTTTAAGAAAGAGCATCAATGTTTCAGTATGACGCCAGAAAGCAATGGGAGCAGATTCAATATGACTAAAAATCACATGAATCATCAGCCTCATGAATAGCAGAACCATACATAGCACACATGGAACCAGAGAAAGAATGTGCATCTTATAGTCCTTATATCAAAATGTCGGAATACATCCAAGAGTAATTGTCAAGTATAGAGATGTCGATGCAGGAAACAGCCATTTGCCCTTAGTAAGGTCTAACAAACAGCTATGCCGTTAATGATATATTAATCTGGAGGATTGCTGCCAGGAGAACGCTTGAATAGTGTCGTAGGATCTTTAACTATCACTTGAAGCAAACAGGACCTCAGTTTAATGTCTCGTTCATAGCCTAGACTGTGAGCTCAAGTCCCAAAGTGGGGCTTAAACTCAATTTCTACCAAATGATATGAAATCAAAGATCACACAAAAACATACTTGGTATATGGAGAGGCCAGGAGGGAGAGAAAAAAAGAACAAAAGATGAAAGCAGCAAAACACAGCCTGGGCACGTGCCAAGATAATGACATCTCTACCACACCATAAAACTGTAGAAATTTATAGCACAGATGGCAGCCATTAAGCCCATTGTATGGCTCTTTTAAGAGCAATTCTTTCAGTCTTACCTTTACCCAAACCCCTTTAGTTTTCTCCTTTAGATATTTATCTAGCGCCCTTTTAAAAGCCAACAAGATTCTGCCTCAACCACCATTCCCAGCAGAGCCTATCCTAATTACTCTGTGGTGTGGAAATATTTTTCCCAATCTCCCCATTTCCTAAAATTGATGCCCTCTTGTCACCGACTCACCGACCAGTCATTTCTCCCAACTGTCACTGACATCAAAACCCCTCATAATGTTAAAGACATTGATCAGGTCACCTCTCAACCTTTGTTCCAGCAGAAAAAAACGCCAGCATCTCCAGTCTCTGTTCATAATAATAATAATCCTTGCATTTGATATAGCGCTTTTCATATCTTCTAGATGTCTCAAAGGGCTTCACAGAATATACTGTAAAGCAAATTGACTGTATATTTGTGGGCGAAACGTGGCAGCCAATTGCGCACAGAAGCATCCTACAAACAGTTGTGGATTGAAATAACCAATTTATTATTGTTTTTTTTCTTGAGGGATTATTATCAGGCGTAAGGAAACTTGCCCAAGGTTTCACCCTGACCTGCCGGGAATCGAACCCAGGCCTCTCGCTCGCAAAGCGAGTGCTCTAACCACTGAGCTCCAGGACTCCACATCTGTGTGTGTATATAATAGTTAATTTTTTTATATTTTTCATTTTTTTAAAAAACAAAATGCAATTTTTTAAAATTGTTGTTGTCGGGATTTATGTGGAAAAAATAATCCTTGCATTTGATATAGCGCCTTATCATAGAGCAAACCAGTCATCTCCTCTGTTCCCCCACTATTATCTTGATATCCTTCCTACATTTCAGTGACCAAAAGTGAACTAACTTAAGTCTAACTAACGAATTATACAAGTTTAGCATTACCTCTTTGATTTTATATTCTATAAACCCTATTCATAAAACCGAGATTCCATTTGCACATCCACATAGAGCAAAACAGAATGGTAGGTAGGAGGCTCTGGGAGCAGCCACTTGCATTGCCATTTCATTAATGAAGCTGTAAGCCAAGCATGTAGAGCTGCCAGCATGTCCTATGTGCAGCATGAGTAAAGCAAATAGCAGCCAGGCTAGGCCAAAGCCAGAACATTTCTGAATTATCGCCTATTGCTATTCGACATTCACCATATTGAGCCAGCTGAGGAGGGATAATTAACCTGTTTGGTTAACACTAATTCAGAAAATGAGTGAAGCGACAAAGCCTAAAGTGCAGCACGCACTAATAGTTGAAAAGGTTTTCAGAGAAAACAATATGATGAATAATAATCCTTGTGTTTGATACAGCGCCTTAACACGTTGTCAAGACGTTCAAACTACTTCACAAGTTTTTACTGAAATGTAATACCTGTATGACAGATAACCAGACAACGCAGTAGCTAATTTTGCGCACAGCAATGGGCTGCGAGCAGCCAAAGGAAGTAGTAAAGTGACTTCAGGCTCAGGATTCTAAAGCCTAGTGGTTGAGGGAGGGAGGGAGGGAAGGAGAAGTGTGCACAAAGGAGTGAGAGGAAAGAACAAGCATGTATACAGCACATAAAATAATGTCTTGGGTCTTACAGACTGCAACCATAGGCATTGTTGAAGAAGTAGGTCTTCAGGTAGGTCTTCAATAAACTTCAGGAAGTTATGGGATTTCAGTTTCAAAGCAGTGAGTAATCCAGAGACTGACTTCAGTGAGTTCAATTGTAGAGGTTAGACACAAGGAAAAGAAAGCTTATGTCTATAATTTCTCTCAATGATATGCCACCCATGAGAATCAACAAGAGTTTTGCGAGAACACAAGATGGTAAACCACTTTATCCTTGTGCCCTCAAGTTAACCTAGCGTCAAGAATTAGACCTAGAATTGAAAGTGGATAGCTGTCAACAAGTACTGGGCAGAGTGAAATCACCACACTCGACAGGACTCGAGTCCAGGGAGATGCTCCAGCACAGTTGCGCAATATTTTTAAAAAAATTTGTGCATAGGAAAAACAGTCTCAAATTCTGGAACAGCAAGACTTGCCGACAAGCCAGCTTACATCTAAAAGCAAAAGTTAACATGATCAAGGCTTTTCGCCAGATCCCATAAATGTATATAGTAAAAATATCAAGTACAAAAACATCCAAAGTTTTATAGGAAGCCTTCAATGGATGACTTAACTGCCAAAATTTTCCAATATTACTTCCGTTTCACATGCGTGGTGGGGTGGGATGGGACGGGAATCATCCTTCGTTTACTCAGGTAGTTTAAAGTTTGATTTTAAAACCTTGCTTAGTACACGTGTACACAGACTCCTGTGTGCCAGGAGTTCATGGCAGGACACACAACCTATCTGAGGGGTAATCAAATAGTTGTTCCACTTCAACTCTCCCTCCCTCTTGCACTCTGACCTCTCCATCCATGGTCTCCTACAACTGTTCTAATGAACCAAAGAGCAAGTTTGATGAACAGCATCTCACCTATCTGCAAGGGACCTTACAGCCCTCCGGCTTCAATATTGATTTCAATAATTTCAGACCATAACAGCTCACCTTCCCCCTCCTCCGTGGCCATTATTACAACATCTGGTTCCCAGACACACCTTTTCTCTCTCTGGTCTGCCCATTTTATTGGAATTTCCCCATGTTCCCCCTCTATTATCTTGACATCTTTGTAAGCAAAATAGAAGCCCACGGTATTAAAGGGACAGTGACAGCATAGATATAGAATGTCTGGGAGACAGAAAGCAGAGAGTGGTGGTGAACAGTTGCTTTTCTGACTGGAGGGAAGTGTACAGTGGTGTCCCCCAGGGGTCGGTATTGGGAGCACTGCTGTTTATGATCCATATAAATGACCTGGACTTGGGTATAGGGAGGACAATTCCCAAGTTTACAGATGATACTAAGCTAGGAAAAGTTGTAAACAGCGAGGAGGATAGCAGCAGATTGCAAGGGGACATAGACTAGACCAACTGGTAAAATGGGCAGACGCGTGGTAGATAAAGTTTAATGTGGAGAATTGCAAAGTGATGCATTTTGTGATGAAGAATGAGAGGTAATATAAGCTGATGGTACAATCTTAAAGGGGGTGAAAGAACAGAGAGACCTGGGGGGGTCATATAAGTAAATGTTTAAAGGTGGCAGGACAGGTAGGTAAAGCTGTTAAAAAAGCATATGGGATACGAGGCTTTATAAATAGAGGCATAGAATACAAATGTCAGGAAGTTATGATGAACCTTTATAAAACACTGGGTAGGCCTCAGCTCGAGACTGGGTTCAGTTCTGGGCCCCACACTTTAGGAAGGATGTCAAGGAATTGGAGAGGGCGCAAAGAAGATTTACCAGGATGGAATGAAGGTCTTCAGTTATCAGGAGAGGCGAGAGAAGCTCGGATTGTTCTCCGTGGAGCAGATAAGGTTAAGAGGAGACTTAATAGAAGTTTTTAAAATTATGGGGGGATTCGATAGGGTGAACAAGGAGAAACTATTCCCACTGGCGGGTGGGTTGGTAACCTGAGGACACCAATTTAAAATAGTTGTTAAAAGAAACAGAGGGGAGGTGAGGAGACNTTTTTTTAAAACACAGCGAGTTGTTGGGATCTGGAATGCACTGCCTGAAAGGCTGGTGCAAGCCAATTCGATACAGCTCTTAGGAGAGAAGTAGATAATTATTTGGGGAGGATAAGTTTGCGGGGCTATGGGGAGAGCGCGGGGGAGTGGGATCGAATTGAATAGTTCTTTTCAAAGAGCCGGCGCAAATGACCACCTTCTGTGCTGTATGANTTTTTTCCCTGGTTCTGGAAGATAAATTTAGTTACCAACAACTGTTTCCTAACAATTACAACTGTTCAATTATAGTCCAATTAAAGCAAGGGTGGTGGAAACAGATTCAATAACAACTTTCAAAAATGGATCAGATAGGTACTTGAAAAGGGAAAATTTGCAGAGGTATGTGGAGAGGGGGAGTGGGACTGATTGGGTAGCTCTTCCAAAGGCACGATGGCCTCCTTCTGTGCTGTATTATTCTATGATTCTATGAAGTGGACCAGCACAGTGAAGCTGGAGTCTCTGCATATCCACACGA